GACTGGGATCCCACTAATCAATGATTACTCCCCTCTCCCTTCCCCTGAATTAGAAATCAGATAAAATAGTACGCTGGGCAGGTAAACTGTGTGTGAGATAGAGTCTGCATCACTTTCTGTTCTAAATTAGATCCATTCATAAATTTAGGGGTCTATTGCTGCATGCTACTATGAACAATTCCTTTGAGGAAAGCCAGGTTCATGACAAGACAGCAATGTAAAATTTCTCTTCCCAAACCACTGATTACAGATAAATTTTACTCATTGTAACTGAAGACCATTACTTTTTCTGCCCCTGCAGACACAGAGAATAAATAGTCTAATGTCATCCTCTGTCTAACCAATCTTCAGTTTTTTAAAGACTATGACCAGCCCTCTTCAGCCTTCTCGCCTCTGGACTAAATAATCCCGGTTCTTCCACCTTCTTTTTTCTATCTGAAGATTTCATACGATGTAGAATGCAACACATCTAATAGCAACTTGTTCCAACTGTAGCTTACTGTAAGTGGAATACCTGCACTTCAGATCTGAGCATCTGGTTTAATCTTCCACTCTTTAGATTTAATTTTGCCTTTTTTCTGTGACATCAAAGAGCCATCAACTACCAGAAAACTTCTCCTTTCTTGTCACCAGTTTTTACCTTTTTCTGCAATAGCTGAGTTGGCATAAAACCTGATTTCTTTTATGGTAAGGTATTCTTTCCAGACTCTGTATCATCCTGTAGTTGCTATTTTAACCCTTTCCAAAACCACCAAAATTCAATAATTTTTTATCAACTTTTCTCATGACAATGTCTTTATCTTCCTCTTTCTTCTCCACCTCATTGCTTCTTTTGCCACAGAAAATAGATACATGATGCTGAATATGCAGGGGCTGGAGCTTACCCAGGTTCAGATTTGAATCCCAGTCTATTTTCATTGACCTTAGTCTTATAAAGACATGATATAAAGGAAGTTCTTAGTTCAAATAGTTTCAAAATGAGAAGTTTGAAGTGACAGAGGTCTATCTGTTTTGTTTGTTTACCCCTCCATCCATACTTGGAGGAGAAAAAGTGGTGAATAATATGCCATAAATTAAATAAATAAATACATAAATATACTAGCAAATTGCCCATCAAGAATAACAGGGGCGCAGGCAGGGACAGAGCCCCATGTCTGGCCCCACAGCCCCCATCCACCCCCCACCCTCATCCGACCCCTCCCCCCATCCCACATCAGGTGCGACCTCACTGCTCCCA